CGCACCCCTTCCCGTCGTCCGCGAACCCCGTTTCGTCGCCCCGTGGCCCCCGTCGCCCCGCGATCCGCCTTCACCAGTGCGGACGCCAGCGCCACGGCCAGCCGCGAGCGCCAGTGCCAGCGCGAGCGCCAGCGCCGCAGCCAGCCGTGAGCGCCAGTGCCTGCGCGGACCGCCACCGCCACCGCCAGCAGCTGCGATTGCCGCCAGCGCCAGCGCCGGCAGCTGCTCACGCTGCCCCCCCTCCCGCCCTCCCTTCCGCGGCTTCAGTCGTGGGGGGGGGGGGGGGAGGGGAGACGTGGGGGTGGCGGGTGTGAACCTCCAGCAGGCTGTCCCTCCCTTCCCTCTTCCTCTCTCCACTGCAGCATTTGTTGCTGTAGGGGGGGGGGGGGAGGAGAGAGGTTAAGAGGGGGGAAGAAGTGGAAAAGGGTGAGGGGGTGGCGGAAGTAGAAAGGTGCGGAGGGTGTGAGGTTCAAGGGGTTGAGTGACAAGGGGGGTGAGGACTTGGGGGTTCTTAACGGGGGGGGATCGCATTGAGCGTGCGCGCTCATGCCCACCTAGCCCACCTCCTCTCCTCATCGGGACTTGGGGGTTATTAACGGGGGGGGATCGCTATGAGCTTGCGCGCTCATGCCCACCTAGCCCACCTCCTCTCCCTTTCCTCTCTCACCTCCCCTTTGTAAAAGGAGGTTCGTAAGCGGGTCCGCCGGCACTGGCCCCCCACCTCCTCTCCTCTTCTCTCCTCTCCTCTCGCCTCCTCGTCCTTCCTTACCTCTTTGCCTTCTTCCACTGCGCCAGTTCCTACCGCAAGCAGGCTAAGGGGGTGTGTCAAGTTATATTATATCCTGCTTACGATAGTTACTGTAGTTATTATAATGAACTGTTGGTGGTACACCTTCTTTGCATGCTGTGTTTCCTATTTGTACCTTGCTCAATAGTGAACTCCCCCTCCTTTGCCCAACTTACATCTCGTTACTCTCAACTCTCACCTAGGCTAGGGTTTCACCTAAGCCTAGGTTCCTCTTCTATTTCTAACAGTCGTGCACTGCCCCGAACATTGCGCAGGTGCCAAGTTGGCCACACACTGATAATTTTGCGTAAAGTGCCACGTCAACCACGTGCTGCCTCATTGGGCGACTTCGACACAGCTACGTGGGTGACGTTTGCACACCCCGACAGAACCTTGTCACTCGCTTGGGCAAAACATTGTCCGTGCCGACTTGGGCAATGGGCTCACCAACTGATGTACGTATTTGTTGACTACCCAGGTCGACACCAAGTCGGCAGACGACGAACCCTTTCATCGACCACTCCAGTTGAAGTCGGCTGCCGGCTTCCCGTTGTCAGCGGCTTCACAGTGGTCTCGAGCAGGTCTACCGACTTTGTTGATCTGGTCGCCCATGTCGGCGTCGCCCACAGCAGACGGCCGGCTGCACCTCCCGTGCACCCAACCTCCTGCATCGTCTCTCACCGTTTCTTCCTTTTCTCTTCTGTGTTTTCTTCTGTGCCGCTCACCCTTTCGTCTCTCGTGTGCTCTCTTCCCTTGTTACTGACGCTCAAGGCTCTTTGTCATCTGTTTCGGCTCTTGTTGCATTGTCACTGACTTTTCGTCTACTCGCTGCCTTGACTATGCTGCCCACTTGGTGGCTGCATCTCATACTCGTCCTGTGTCCGTCAAGGGTAAGTCTACCTTTGAATTTGACGTCCTGGAGGTCAGGCAGTTTAAGCTCGGGTTCTTTACTGCCACTACCCCCATCTCTGTGCCATGCTGCTAGCCCCTGAGGGAGATTGTGTCTCTTCAGACATTCTGACTATTTGCACTTACGCTGAGGCGGTTTCAGAATCCTGGGCCTCTAAGTAGGTAACGACCATAGACTTGGATATGGCGTTTTTGAGGTCCACAGTAACGCATGTCGATGCATTTCCCCTTCTTAGGGCGAAATTAATTGATGGCATGTGTATCGTAAATGTCAAGCGCCCGCCTGGGTCGCTGAATATCTTCAAGGCGCACTTGCAAGAGGCTTTACTAGGCATGAGGGTGTTGACATCTTTCAGACCTTCTCCTCTATTTCGAATATGACCACTCTTCGGGTACTCCTACACGTTGCAGCACAGCGTGACTATGAGCTGCACTCGCTAACTTCTCATTTGCCTTCCTCCAAGGTTGTATGCATAAGAAGATCTGTCTCATTGGATCTTTCCTGCCTAGAACTCAGTAGAGCCTTAGGCAAACAATCTGTGGTCTCTGCCAAGAACCACAAGAGTGGCACAACCCTCTCCGCTCTACTCTTGTTGACCTCGGCTTTAGTCCTCCTTCAACCAACTCGTCCTTTTTAGGGATACTGTTTCAGCTTGGGTCCTGTAGCTGACATGAAGGTCTACCCAGTCATCGTTAGTGGCGCAGTCCAGTGTGCGGATTGGCTTACGTCTCCATATCAGCCCGAGCCTGGTGCACTAGGCAATGACATCAAGAAAAATGCGCAGAGAGGGGCGTCATCACATGGGCAGCAGACTACAACTAGCAAGAAGAAAGTGGAAACACTATCTTCAAGGTTGAAGTACAGCCGTTTTGAAGGCCCTAGGCAAGGTGTCATGGCGGTCTAGGAGGATGTTGGAGAAGATGAGGAGATGATCTTCTGTTTCTTCACACCTCTGCCTAGAAAACTAGCCACAATGAAGGTGTCATTGATGCGTAGTTCAACAGCCTTATTGAGAATCGAACTTGGAAGCGTGTTGAGTTACTTGAGGGGCAACACCCAATCAACAGCATGTGGGTCTTCAAGATGAAGACTGGAGCTGATAGCGTCGGAGCAAATCAAAAGCTGCTTGGCCGCTTAAGGCTTCAGTAGAAAAAGATGATCAACTTCAAGGAGGTATTTGCTCTCTCTTCTAGGCCAACAACGCTCAGGACTTTGCTTGTGAGCTCAGCTGTTCTCTCTGCTAAGCCAACAACGCTGGGGACTTTGCTTATGAGCGCAATTGTCAAGGAATGGCACGTGAAGAAAATTAACATCACCATTGCATTCCTCACTGGGGTGCTATTAGAGGATATCTACATCGGCCAGTCCGATGGCTACGTGCGCAAAGAGTCAGGGATGCAAGTGGTGGCAGAGAGTGAGAAAAATAGGTGGCTGATTCGTAGATAGAAACTCTGGTGGGAGAGCAGCACCGTAGCATGTGTCAAGGGAGCGCAGGTAAGTAATGAGATCGGCTACATTGATGAAGTCGGGCGACTCAGGGAAGGGGAATGGCAGCATGAGAGGGGGAAGAGTAGTGCTTGTCTACAGTGTCATAGATTGCTTTGGCTGTCTTCAGCTGGCATTGGGGCCTCTGGTTTAGCGGAAGGTGTTTGTGGACAGCAAGCTGGGCAGTGGCGTCAAATGAAAGCCACTGGGTAGAGGCAATGCGATCAGTCTTACACTGCTATCGCTCAGAAACGCTAGCGGACGGGCCAGGGTCAGTATGAGTTGGTGGGGCCTTAAGGGGACCAGATGTGTGCTCAAACAGCAAGGCATCGTCCTTGGTAATGCTCTGCAGGTACAGGTGAAGGTCCTCTAGCCAGGACTCATATTCGATCGGGTGCCCCTCCGCGTCAAAGCTCAGTACAGTGGCAGTCGCCAAGGTAAGTAGCACAACAGTACGGCGCACGGGCAGCCGCAGCGCTCAGGCATTGTAGCAGTAGCTCCAGCAGTGGTGGTTGCGGCTGCGGCAACTGTAACTGTAGCTGCGGCGGCGGTACTAGCGGCGGCGGCAGCGGTGGCTGTTGCAGCAGCTGCGGCGGCTGCAGTGGCGGCTACGGCGGCTGAAGCAGCAGCAGCGGCAGTTAGCGGCGGCTGCAGCAGTAGCGGTGGCAGCAGCGGCAGCTATAGAAACAGTAGGGGTAGCAGTGGTGGCTGTAGCAGTGCCAGAGGCAGCAGCGTGGCTGTAGCAGCATCTGCAGCTATAGTGGCGGCCGCGGCGGCTGTAGCAGCAACAGCGGCGGCTAGCCACGACTGCAGCAGTAGCAGTGGCAGCAGCGGTGGTTGTAGTAGCAGCAGGGGCAGCAGCGGTGGTTGTAGCAGTGACAGAGACAGCAGCGGCGGCTGTGGCAGTAGCTGCGGCGGGAGTGGTGCTGCGGCAGCTGTAGCAGCAGCCGCAACAGCGGCGGTTAGTGGCGGCGTCAGCGGCGGTTGTAGCAGCAGCAGTGGCAGCAGCGTCGGCTGAAGCAATGGTAGCTGCTGTGGCTGTAGCTGAAGCAACGGCAGCTGTAGCGGTAGTGGCAGTAGCTGCAGCGGCAGTTGCGGCGGCTGCGGTAGCTGTAGCATTTAGCTGCAGCGGCTGTAGCGATTATGGCAGCAGCTGTAGCGGTAACTGCGGTACTCACGGCAGCTGTAGCGGCAGTTGTAGCGGCGGGAGCTGCGAAAGCAGTGGAGGCAGTGGCTGCACCTGAGCAACAGCGGCGGCCGTAGCAAAGGAGCAGCGGCAGCACTTGGGGCAGCGGCTCGCAGGGCAGAGTTGCGCAGAACAGCGACATGCGGCGCAGTGGGGCAGCGAGGCAGTGGGGCAGCGGGGCAGTGGGGTGTGTATTGTTCTGGGCAGCTGCGCGCAGGGCAGCAGAGTAGTGGGGCACGCATCATGCTGGGCAGCGGGGCAGCGGGTCGCGCTGAGCAATGCAAAGCGCATGTAAGGGCAGTGTGAATGGCGCGCGACGAGCAGCTGAAAGAGTACGTGCGGGGCAGATCTAACGAGGGGTAGCGTGATGAGTAGTTACAGCTGATAGGCACTAGAAGCGGTCCTAACCTAGCTCTGCTACCATGTCAAAGAACGAGGAATGGAGTTGAGTTGGAAGTACTACTACAAACCCTAAGGGTCATACCCCTCATGGGGGTACCCCACTACAGCATACGTACATATAATTAGTTTTGGCGCATTCTTGTGAAGCACCATCACCTCAAAATCAAGCCAACAGGAATCAAACTACACACGTGGGTGGATGAGATGGGGAGATGCTAGTGGCTACTGCCCTACAGAGAAGAGGGAAGATCTGCTCACAAACAAAAGGGGAAAAAACATGCAAAGTACAAGTGGGCAAATGAAACATGTACATAACCTTATAAAAACAGGCCCAAATTGCGATCGCGGGTTCAGCTTACAATTCTTGACCGTGTGTTTTGCCTTGGAAGTGTTTTGCGCGAATTGGTGTTACCGAATGTGTGAAGGACACTAATTGGCTAGTGGTAGGGATTGTGTGATTGTCGAACATCTAGAGTGGGAACCTTCAATATATTTCCTGTGCAACCAGGGTCTTCCAACCAGGGTTTGCCAAGTCAGCAAACACTGACGGTGTTGCGAAACCAACAACACCACCTTCTCAAACACATTGACTTCCTCCCTTCAGCTCCCCCACAACCCAATGCTCAAGTAACCTTGTACACCTTGGGCTGCCGGCTTTAAACAGACGGGGATGGGTATGGTGTTAGGCAGCATACCATACCTGTGATGAAGCTCCAGGACAGAATGACATGGCTTTGGGGCTGGCTGGCTGAGAGGGCGACGAAGCCGAAGAGGAAGAGAGAGTCGGATGCAGTGGGCTTGAGCACGGAGCAGAGAGACACGCTTGCTGTGAGGGTGGGGGTGGGGGGCTGGTGGGGGTCGGAGGAGAGGAAGACTCGGAGGGTGCCGCCGCTGGTGGGGTCGTAGTGGATCCAGGCGTGCTTGGTGTGGGCGTCGTTGAGGATGAGAGGGGCCGTGGCAGAGGCGAGGGACACAGGTGAGCCGCCCACATTGACGCCCACGTGGTTGTCGTTGGGGTCGCTGTGCTTCACACTCAGCACCGAGTCAAACTCCACCGCCACACTCCGCTTCCCCACCCCTCCCAGCCCCACACTCACCCCCTTGCCAGCAGCAGCTGCTGCCACCACAAACGCAAGGCCTTCCCCACCCGCCCCCTGATCCCCGGGGGTCATGGCGAAGCTGAAGGCAACTCGGAAGCCCAGCTGGGTGCCGCAGGGAGAGCGCTTGTCCGGAATGTAGAAGAGGCGCAGCGCGGGCAACGCAAGGGCAGAGCCTTGCTGGCTGGCAGCGCCGCTGGTGAGCAGAATGGAGCCGTTGGAAAGCAGCGAGGCAGAGCCCCCAAGGGAGACGTATGCCAAGGCAGACGCCAGTGTGCGCGCAGCTGGGAGGAACGAGTGATGGGAGACATAGGTGGGCAGAAGCATGGGAGGGACGAGCTTTCGGGCAGGTAGGAATGAAAATCAAATGTCAAATGGTAACCACTGTGCAGGAGTGATTGGTTAAAAGGAGGCGCTTACCTCCAGGCACGCAGGTGTTGGAGTTTCTGGTGCTGACCAAGTAGTTGGGATCGCACACACACTCCCCTGCTCCAGTGAAGGCATTCAGAGAGCAGTAGCCATGGCCCCCACACTGAGGGCCAGTGGCACCGACCCCCAGCCCACAGAACGCAGCACACGATGCCATTGTAAGGCGTGAGGCAGTTTGTATGCGTGCTCCATGTGACTGCAGAGCAGTTGCTAAACTTGACCTGCCCGTGCGAGAAGAAATTCTCGGGAACAGCGTATGCCTGCACGCCTGCTGCCGTCAGGGTGGGCAGGCGCCCAGAGAACTGGTTGTTGTTCAGATACCTGCCATGCCATGGCAGCAGTGATGCACAGACGGGTGTGCAAGATAACACCAGCGCATGCCCGCACAGGTTGAGAATGATCAAGTAAAGGCCATGCGCATGCACATGCGCAGGTGTGATGTGATACCCACAAGGCAGTGACGCCCTTCATGCCTCGTATGATGGGGTGGATGGGGCCTGCGAGCTGGTTGGACGGCACCATGCTGAGAGCAGGATGCAAGGAAGGATCGACACATGTGAGCACGTGCACAGCACAGTGTGTGAGGTGATGGATCAAGTGCCAACTATTCGAAGTAGTTCGACCAACCAATAACACTGATTGAAGTTTCGAGAAGCACAGCACTTGAAAGGCTTACGGAGTACAGAACGGAATGGAAAGCATAGTATCTAAGTGAGCAAACGAGTAATGTGAACAAGTGCTGGAACGGACTCCGTGTGAAGCACGAAAGCACAATTCATGGACAGGGGCAGTGGTTGATTGAGTGTATACAGAATCCGCAGCTTGGAGAGGCTCCGTAAGGTGCTGGGGACAGTCCCCTGCAGCTGATTGCCAAACAGATCCCTGCTTGGTCCATGCACATCACACGCACACACACACCAGAGCGAACAGTGGCCCCTCAAATGGACATGGTGAAACACTGAGCTACTGCTGCAGCGCATCACAGATTGCGGGCTACAGCTATGCTCAAGTCGAACGGAGTGGGGTGGATAGAAGCGCTCTGTGCGTACTCACAACTGCAGCAGGTTGGTGAGTTTTCCAATGGCTGTGGGGATGGATCCAGACAGCTGATTCAGTGACGCCCACCTGCCTCCTCAAATGAGTGCGCCAATGAAGGGTTGCGGGTGAAAGGTGAAATGGGGTGAAAAATATACGGTTCTATGCAGCCTCTTTGTTAGGTCTCTTGAGATAGTAAATGAGTTCGCCGTCAAGCGTTTGGCATGAACCTCTTGGGAGAGCATGGCAAGGCCACAGGTGAAGGGAAAGATGACGTGCATTGTGCCAATGGAGTGTGGCGCCTCACAGGTACTGCAGATGAAGAAGATCACCCAGTGCTGCAGGTATGCTTCCTGAGAGATGGTTGCCTGACAAGACTCTGAGACGAGAATGGAGTGATGTGAAACGTGGATCAGAATGGTGTGATGTGAAACGTGGATGAGAATGGTGTGATGTGAAACGTGGATGAGAATGGTGTGATGTGAAACGTGGATGAGAATGGTGTGATGTGAAACGTGGATGAGAATGGTGTGATGTGAAACGTGGATGAGAATGGTGTGATGTGAAACGTGGATGAGAATGGTGTGATGTGAAACCTGGATGAGAATGGTGTGATGTGAAACGTGGATGAGAATGGTGTGATGTGAAACGTGGATGAGAATGGTGTGATGTGAAACGTGGATGAGAATGGTGTGATGTGAAACCTGGATGAGAATGGTGTGATGTGAAACGTGGATGAGAATGGTGTGATGTGAAACGTGGATGAGAATGATGTGATGTGAAACGTGGATGAGAATTGTGTGATGTGAAACTTGGATGAGAATTGTGTGATGTGAAACGTGGATGAGAATGGTGTGATGTGAAACGTGGATGAGAATGGTGTGATGTGAAACGTGGATGAGAATGGTGTGATGTGAAACGTGGATGAGAATTGTGTGATGTGAAACGTGGATGAGAATGGTGTGATGTGAAACGTGGATGAGAATGGTGTGATGTGAAACGTGGATGAGAATGGTGTGATGTGAAACATGGATGAGAATGGTGTGATGTGAAACATGGATGAGAATGGTGTGATGTGAAACATGGATGTCGACGCTGCAGGATTGATGCTTACAAAACTTCAAGTTGCTGCAGCGATGCCAGAGAGGCTGGAATTGATCCGCTCAGTGCATTGTATGGCAGCACCCTGCCAAGGTGCCATTCACATCACCACACGCGCACCATGCACCACAGTCCATGTTTGTCCGATGACAACTTGTGAACATGGGTCAGTTATAAGTATCCTTCATCTCCTCGACTTTACCTCACATCCCTTCACCTTACATCCACTTCACCTCACATCCACTTCTCAACAGATCCACTTTACCTCACATCCACTTGACCTCATATCCACTTTACCTCAGATCGAATTCCCACTGAGCCTAAGAAGTGCGCAGAAGCACAAGTGTGCGCTGGCTTGGGGCGACAGAACTAACAGGCGCTTGAGAGCAGAGAGCGTTCCAAGCCACTCAGGAAGGGAGCCGCTGAGCTGATTCGTATCCAAGAGGCTGCAGGCAACAAGTTGAGAATAGGAGGAATGAGGAACAGGATGGGGGGAACAAGGTGAGAGGAATGACGGCCATATGAAGGTGGCAGCATGCAGCACTCAATGCAATATTGCAGCTGGCATTGCACTTCCTTGGGCTTGGTGCCTCAAACAGATTCGCCATGCGAATCACATGTGGGAGCAATGCTCCTTGGGAGCAATGCTCTGTGATTGCATGTGCATTCCTTTGGTACCACATGTGGGACGAACCAAACAAATTCGTCATGCGACCCCCGAGAAAACTTACCAGAGCGTGCAGGGGTGCAGGCCGAGTGCATGCAGGGGTGCAGGCCGAGTGCATGCAGTGTGCAGGGATAGAGAGGAGTATCTCACAGATAGGTGAGGTTGCGCAGGCGGCTCAAGGAGTCGGGTATGGAGCCACTCAGCTGGTTTAAGCCCAGCGCCCTGCAGTCACCAGCAACGGAATAAGGCCTCGAGGAACAAGAAAAAGCATTGGAAAAGGTGGTGCACTGGGAGCATGGTGCACTGGGAGCATGGTGCATTGGGAGCATGGTGCACTGGGAGCATGGTGCACTGGGAGCACGACGCTGGTCAGAAGCGATCGTCCAGTCCCTGCATCGTACAAGGCAAGGTACATACAAAGGATGCAGGTGTGCCATGTTGCCTATGGAGGGCGGAATGCTTCCCGTGAACGAGTTCTTCTCAAGGACCCTGAGATGCAAAAGGCCAGGAGGGGAAGTGAAGGGAAAAGGGCAAAGGAAGAAACGTTGGGATAAAATGCCTTGGCAAAAACCGGATGGATTGCTTTGTGACAGTTGCGCAATTCGTGGCACAATGCATGTGGAAGAAGTTGCTCAGTTCCTCATAAACGGCAGGAACACAAGAGTTCCCACAGACGCGTGCATGTTGTTTCCACTGAACGGTTAGCAATACACCCATCAACTGTCTTCTACTCTCTCTGATGCATGTCCCACATTCACAATCACAGGTCTGCACTGTAGAGTTCAGAGAAGCGAGTGGCATTCGAGTCACCCCTTGCGAGTCTTCCAAGCACAGACCTCCTTGCTGATGCAGGCTAAGCACAGCAGGGATCCAGCTCTGAGAAATCCACACATTTAGGCTTCGTACGATCCAGTGAAAGTACAACCGTATTGGTGCATACTCTCTGGTCAAAACTGAGATCCAGAAGAGCAAATTGATACGCCCCCTCGCATCCCATTCAAGTTCAATTGCTGAAATATGGAAAGAAAATGGCGACAGGAACAAAAAACAGCAACACCAGCATGTTAACAAGTGTGGCTCACAGAGCGTGAAGGGCAGTGAGTTTGCCGATGTCAGAGGGAATGGAGGTGTTGAGGAAATTCTGATCCGCATCGCTGAGGGGCCATGGGACAGGGCACACAGCGCAAACACATGCCCAGTCACCTCATTTTCGTGGAATTTCTGAGTGGCACCACACACGAGCACCCCTTAATGTCTCGTTAGCACATAGGCAAGCCTATGCCAATCGTCACACCCTCTTGTGCATGTTTTGCAAAGACGCTTGGGGGTTGGCAGGGGAGGAGTATGGGAAAAGGCGTGGGGGGGAAGGGTAGAGGGGGAAATGAGTTAAGTGGGGACACTAGCAATGAAGTGGGCGTGGGAGGGTAGGTGAAGCGGGCAGAATCATGGCAGTACTCATAGGTGGGAGGCGTAGCTCCGAGAGGGGAATGGGGGAAAGGTGGGAAAGAATGATGAAATCTCGATGTTGGTTTTCGGGGAGAAAGGGAAAATATTGCCATGCATATAATTTATGCGTTAATCTGTAAAATGCTATTGTGAGCAGAAACCGTTTTATAATGCTTCAAGTTCTAGTATGATGCCGTGAGCACAAAAAAACTTTAGGTGAATCAGAGAAGGTTCTTAGGAACTGGCATGGTACGGTGGAATCTAGCAGAGCCTAGGTTCATTACTTACCTTTCCTTCCTTTCTTAATGAGAAATGAATGATCCTACACCTGAACTTCATCAGCCAGCAGCCTCAATCACATGTATGAAGAACACTTGGTCTGCGCCTCAAAGACTATGACTCTACCATTACGGCTATCACCTCACCACCACCTCCACCTCTCCTCCAAACAAGATCTATTGTTATGGAAGGCGTGGTCCACTCTCAAGTTATCTGCAGGTCGAGCAAAGCCCATGTCGGCGTTTCTGTTTAAGCCGCAACTCATATGGGGCAGCAGAACATGCCTGTTCGCGTGGTTTGCGGAGTTGACTACACCACCGCCCAACGGGGAACACTATGCTTGAAATAACTGCATATATGTATATATGTATGTTTGTCACAATTGGTTGTGAGATTGAAGGACATAAAGATGCAACGCCTCGGGACTCTGTTGGTTCATTCTAGTAATGCATGCGTACAGTAGTTGGAGTTGCGACAAGCTGGTGAGTGGATCGATGGGACCCGAGAGCTGATTCATGCCAAGGATACTGAAACAGTGAAACAGGGAAAATGGGAGGATAGGCACGTAGTAAAGAAAACACGGGAAAGCCATATGAGACCACATAGGCATGCTTGGTCTGTTACCTACAGGCAGCATGTGTTACAGGTTATGGCCAGGTCCTGTGTAAGCTGCATGCAGATGTGCTTTGCGTGCATCAGCTCCCCCACCGGCCACCACCATCCATCACAAGCTGATGCATTGTAAGCTCTACGCCTTCAACTGAAGTGCGGCACAAGCTGTGCTTCTCAAGCAACTGAAACGTTACGCACAGAACAAGCAAGTTGGTGAGGCGGCTGATGCTTGCTGGAATAGTCCCTGTGATGAAGTTTCGAGTCAAGTCGCTGGAGCAGAGGTGACAGGCATGGGGTGGAGTGGAGCGGAATGGGATGCAAGAACCAGCAGAAAGTACGCAGATTCCAAATACGAGGCGGGGTGGACTCAAGGCTGATCAAACGATAGCAATGCGAGCACTCACAGAACGACAAGTGAGGTGAGGCTGAAGAGGGATTGCGGAATAGTGCCTGTGAGCTTGCTGAATGGGAGTGACCTGGAGAAGAGACAATCATGGACGAGGGTCGGGGAGGAGGAGCCAAGTCAGTGAACTAGATGGGGCAAGCAAAAAGTAAAGTGAGAAATCGAGGGCAAAGAGTGGAGTGATGGTGCGGAGAGTGTCCGCGCCTTCGTCACTCATTGCATCGATACAACAGACTGCATGAGGGAGCGCTTGGCACGATCATGGTACATAAACAGATATGTGGGCGCAACCCCGTTTGCCTTGGTGCACTGAACTTGTCTATAAAGCTCTACCATACCACATTCAAAAGATGTTGGCAGTGAGATGGGCTCACAGTTGTGTGAGGTGCTGCAACCAGCTAATCATGTCAGGTATGGGTCCATTCAAGCTTTTTGAGAATAGAAATCTGCGACACAAACGAGAGGGGTTTAATCAAACAGAATTTTTCGAATTGCGCATGCAACAAGCACAAGTTTGGATACAACTGTCATGGCATCAACAGACCATGCCATTTTCCACATACGTTCATTTTTATTAACCCAATGGGTACACATTAGCCTGGGTCAAGCTGATTCAGGCCAGCTAAATGCTTGAAAAGGAACTCGTGCAGAACTTGAATCGGCCCACAATAGAAAACTAAAACCTTTTCAGTCCTGGAATGGTATGATTCTTACCATTCCAGGGCCTACGGTTAAAGACTCAAACCTTTTCAGGGTTCACGGTTTCAGACAACAAACAACCCCCCACGTGTAGTGAGTGAGGTATTGCCTCACTGCACCTAAAACAATCCACCCATAAACGTGGAGTTGGACGAATGGAAGAAGGGCGAGGGAAAACCTAAGATGGGTCCGTACGTCCCTGGAGCTATGTAAACGTAATGTTACGCGTAACATTACGTTTACGTTTACGTACGCGTAAATACGCGTAACTTGAGTCCGGGCAGGTGAAAATTTTCGAGTGAAACAAAAAAAAGCCGAATTGTTTCCGCGGTCTATAGTTTTGGCGGAATGTTGCTACGGGACCTTTCAGTGCAGCGGATACAGCCTGGCGAGATGTTAAGAAGTTAGGCCGTAACTAAAAATTATAGAGTAAGCGTAGGGATTCTAGATCTTAGAACGTTATGGTAGATCGATCTACGAAGTAGCAGGTCGTCAATTTAAACACACTAGCACCTTCTGAGTCTCGCGTAAGATAGTAGAAGTGGGAGGGTAGTGACTTGGAGTAACGAATTGGAGGGACGCGTTGCCGATATCGGGTGAAATTGGTGCAAAATCGCGAGATGGTTTGTACACCTCGCAAAAAGTAACACACCTCCCCTTGTGATGCGTTTTTTTTTTTTGCGTGTATAGATTTATCTCATATAGTGATTTTGCCATTTCCGAACCCCTTTGAAAAATTTTACTTTAGCCGGGCAGCTAACGAAATAAAATTCTGCCCGCAAACGTAAACTCATTCCAGCACCTCGCGCGTATCGTAAAACGTACGTAAACGTAAACGTAAACGTAAAACGTACGTAAACGTAAGCGTAATATCCAACTTAGGGGAAAACATGTGTTGAAGCCATAAATGACCTCCAAATTATTTCCCCTCAGATAGGTGTCACATGGGACAGAACAAACCCTGCAAAATTTGTGTCGGAACAAGTAATGTCTTGGTTCTTTTTGACAAACCACAGCACGCACGGGTCTGACTGGTTTGAATGAATCCAGGCGAATCCAAAGCGGTACATTAAATTTGAGCCATAGATTAAAGAAAAAGGCCCTGTAACCCAGTTTGGCGAGGGACAAACCAGTTCAGCCCTGGTCGCAGCTTTGGGGCACCTCTGAATCAGAAAAATGACATTCACAGAACTTTCACGCTACCATCCAAGCATAACGTGGCCTTCCAACCAAGCACAACGTGCACATGCACGCACGAGCAATGCAACAGGACCATGCGCATTGTGGAACAGAGCGCATGACAGCAGGTGGAGGTCTCACATGTCAGTGACGAACCCGCCTCTGTTGCAGTTGATGCCATCGAGTGCCATGCAGTCCGCATAGCTATGTAGCCATGTGTCGCTGCCCTGGAAGTTGTTCCACCAGCTCGCCAGCGCCAAAAGGTTGTGCGCTGGAAGGCAAGGTGGGAGGGTTAGCTAAAGATAGGTAACCGGGTTCGGTGGGGAAAAGAGGGACTGAAGAGAAGTAGTGAGGGTGGAGGTGGTCCAGCAAGAGCGGGATGAGATGGGCAAGTGGTACAGTGAATCGCTGATCCAGTCAAGGCACCAACGCAGTAGTGTTCCAAGCTCTTACCTTTGCTTGGGTATAATCGCACGGATGCTACTCCCCTGAGCGCAATCAGGCATGCAAGGCCGGGAAGCAGCAGGCGATACAGCTCCATCAGTCGGGGCGAGTGTAACTGCATGGCAAACACAAGGGCATAACATTTCTGGCCCTCGTCCTCTTCTTCCTCACATTCATCCTTCACTCCTTCGATGTTGGCCCCAATGCACGCACAGCATTAAACTTACAAGAGGACACTCCACAGCCCAACCTAGACCTTCCCCCACGCCCACATACCATACCAAATCTATCGCATGCACCAGAGTAATAGGCGCGCTTTGAATCATGCACCACACCACCAATACTCACATGCAACCCAATGCTGCAAGAAAGTGAATGGCCTTGCAAACGAGTGGCTGACATCACGCACACAAGGTGGACGAAACATATCCATTCAAACCTGAGTAGAATGGCAGTTACACAGGGGGGAGTTGGGGGGGGGGTGGGGGGCCGAGGGGGGCAACTACACCAGCTTCCTCCTCGTCCTGGCTCCACTGGCTCGCCTACATGGACGAGCCACGAGACGGACTGCTCTCTATTTTGGCTCTTCCCTGCTCGCTGTGTCTTGACTCATCTCACATGCGCCTTATCCCGCTCGGCTCAGCCATGTACCCACGTCCAGCTAGCATTGATCGAAACTGGTGGAAGCTGGAACTTCAACAGTTAAATTTGTGGATTCTGATATGCACAACCAATCAGTATGAACTGAATCGTGCGCCGTCTGCCAGCCGCAGTGGGGCCGGTTGCAAACCCCATATAGCGAGTCGAGGCCAAGCCCAGCTTGTCGCCATTCCGTCGTTGGGGTATCTAGAACCAGAGTTGCATCTTGATTTCTTCGAAGCTTCAAAAAGGCATCTTAATTTCTCAATTTCCCACATGCACACTCAACTCAAGAGATGGCAAGATTTCAGCTGAAAGGCTACAGCTGCACTCAACGCTTTCGCCAAGTGGTCTAGGTTGCGTTATCCTGGAACCAGAAGGGCCTCGTATCTTGCCTCGGTCACGTTCCCCGCCCGACCAATGGTCAAAGCGAGGTCTCGAACGTGTAACCCAGCAAGCGATCTCACTGGCCTGGACTATCCCTTGGGCGGCCAACTCTCCGAAGTTCCTCAATCAAATAGGACGATGGCACCAGGGGGGATACAGGTTTAACGCCTGTGGGCCCACACCAAGGGTTGAAAGGCATCCGCTGCGCCTGTGAAGGACCTCCGCTGTTCTATCATAAGGGGGTTATAACCACGGCCGGCGCTGCAGCTTCAAAGATGCACCGGCCCGGTACACTGCTCGCTTGGCGTTGGTGACGCGTGCGGGGTTGAAGGGCATCCTCTGCGCTCCTTGTTTTGACCCAGCAGGTAGCGGGTCGTTATAGCCGCCACGGTCGCACGCGGCGGAGCATGCAGCGGAGATGGTGCCGCTTGTTTGGCCTGCCCATCAGTCTCGTCATTCAACGAAATTCGGCAAATCGCGATAGTCACCACCAACGGCGGCGCCGGGCCCAGCGTGTAGGCGCGCATGCAAAGCGGCGCAAGCGGGGCTCACTCCGCGCGAATCTCACAGCTACCAAGAGGAGCAAGACGCACCTTCATGTGGCGCGCTCAGAAACGGGTCGCTCGTCGACTATCGCGCAAGGGCAGGTGATAGACCAGAGGATAGTACATAGCCTGCAGTGCTAGGAATGGCTCTATACAGCAACGTATACCGTAGTGTACCGTGTTCAATACTTACGCGTCGTGCATTGTGAGAAGCGTAAGGTGTGGAACAAGGCTCTAGCGTAGCGTTATATTGCGCACTACCACTGAACGGAACGCGCGAGGTTGTAGGGGCTTGTCGCTTTGCTTTGCCTCGCTGGTTGCGGGACACGAATCAAGACGGACTATGACAAAATATTTCTTCTACATGAAAAGTACACTCATGCAGCAAAGGAAACTTCATGATTCCTTACCATGATTTATGCGTTGTGTTAAGGCTGCAATATAATGAGCGAGTGAAGATTGCGCTCATGAGTCAAATGAGTACAATGTGAGAGAAGGCATTAAGCAAACAATTGTTGGAGTATGAAGGGAATCTCACTTTGTCATTTACATTCACTATGATCAGAGTTCCTACCAAGACTTCCGCTACCAACTCTTTCAAGGCACTTCCTATCCTATCCAAGATCCTTACTCTAACATGGTATGAGAGCTAGTTTGGATTATAGGAACTGCTAAAGGGAGCTCTCTCCAAGGGCAACTCTTCTCATAATTTACTACAAGGGCAAGCAAACATGCCAGGCGCCGACTGCGGAGAAACTGGAGAAAATCCAGTACAACCTTCCACTAATGTTACCTCTAGTACAACAACCATGGACACAGCACTCCTCGAGCAGCTGATTTCCCGCATCAGCGCACTGGAGAGCCATCAGCCAATGAGCATTGACGGCTCCAGCTACGCCCGAAGACCTCCCGATCCTCAAGGAGCTGGATCTGAACGATCCTTCACCTTCGACAATCGCGGAGCTCCAGGACCTGCTCAAACACAGCAGGCACATTTCGAGACAATGGCGACAATGCAAATTAAGTTCCTGTCAACATCAAAGCTCAGGACAACAAAACCATTCGACGGACAAGATTTCTACACCTGGAGCTTTGAATTCGAGCTATTAGCTCAAGGCGCCCAGATCTGGATGTATTACGACGGTTCGTATCCCTTCCCAACCAACGGCTCACCTCAGGA